TTAAAACAAACTAAAATATTTAAGAATATGAAAACAACTATTTCCTCGTTTTCCGGACAAACAGAAGTGAAAAAAAAAACACCACGACCTTCGTTAGGAGACAACAATGTTGAACAACCTTTAAGTCGTAGGTTATTGTACTTGTGGCATTTAAGAAAATGGGCTATTCAGATATTTATGAGTTTTCTTTCGACTAATCCTGAAAAACAATGCTATCTGAGCAGATAAACAGACAATGGATATTAGGCATGAGCGCGCAAATATAACGGGCGAGACGGCTGTTCACCGAGTGCCGAAGTATTCCGCCGCGACGCGCTCTTTATAGCGGCCTGCCTGCAGCGTAGAGAAAGCCGCCCCCGCGCTCCGCGCGATCACTGCGTTTGCCTCGTAGCGGGTTTTTTCCTCATCACTACCATAATTGCATATAGTATGTAGGTATGTCATGTCACCTTGAGTTCATCAATCGCGACGCTGGTTCTACAGAGTTTGTATTGATTTTGTTTCATGTTAGCTAAAGTACAACACAACTCGAACACTGACCATAAGCTCCAATTATTTCTTTTATTTTTAGGATATCAGATTTCAGCGAATGATTTTGAATGATTTATATCGTATTAAGGCAAAAGTGAACAGGGGTTTTGTTACACTAAGACAGTACGATTTACCATCTAGGACTTTATCCCCACTCACCACCAGGTGGAATTGTTATCAAGCACTGGCGTAATAGAATAAAAAACCGGCCAAGAGCGTGTCGGGCCACGCTCAGTGTAGGGTTCCGTAGTTTCCCGTCCGTCACAGTAAGTGAGTTAGTTAGTTAGTTACTGAGCTTATGAGTTTGTACAAAAACTGTTCTTTCCATCCAAGTTCAAAATAATTTTCCTAGAAAGTCCTTATAAAGTTCTACTTTTCAGATTTTTTTCATATTTTCTAAACTTATGGTTCAAAAGTTAGAGGGGGGGGACACATTGTTTTTTCCTTTAGGAGCGATTATTTCCGAAATTATTGACATTATCAAAAAATGATTTTAGTAAACCCCTATTCATTTTTAAATACCTTTCCAACAATATATCACACGTTAGGGTTGAAATTAAAAAAAAAATCACTTCCCACTTTACATATAGGGGGGCTACCCTAATAAAACATATTTTTCCAATTTTTATTTTACCACTTTGTCGGCGTGATTGATACACATATTGGTACCAAATTTCAGCTTTCTAGTGCTAACGGTCACAGAGATTAAGCGAGGACGGACAGACGGACAGACAGACATGGCGAAACTATAAGGGTTCCTAGTTGACTACGGAACCCTAAAAAATGTATGTATATGAGTACTTAATCTAACAAAGTTAGCAGACCAATATTAAAGTAATTAATAAAAATTACAACGATACGGTAAACTTCCTTAATGAATAATTTGCGACAAAATTAATGTCGTGTTTTTTTTAACTTAGCGTTTGCATAGTGTGGTACAACTTTGAGAATACATAGTTTTATTGTTCTGTTGGTGTGTATATCGCGAGATACTTTTTAATAGGTTAATTGGCTGGCATTGTGGTGCTGGCACACTTTATCAACCGCGACCTTAAAACGGCCGGGGGCCACGCACGTAGGTGTGTGCTCATCATTAGACGACACGCACTATTACGATCTGTGATTTCGGTTTCATTTTTTAGCACCTACCTACTTAGCAATATTTATCAGCGTTTTATGCCTGCCTGCAAAAAACGTTGAGTTACTCTATAGTATGTTAACAAATTTGTATATTGGTAAACAATTGTAAAAAAAAAACATAATTCCTTATACTTTTGAAGGAATTCGCTGCTGTACTTAATAAATTCACTGTAACGACCGACATTCTACCAATAATACGATTACTTACTAATTATAGATGTTTGTTTCATTTATATTCTCGTGCGAGTCAGTAAACGGTACAGTGAGCACAGTCGCGTATTGTAGCTACAGCTTTGCAATTCCTAACGATGAAAGTCTGCACACCACATATTATTATCAATGCTCCCGTGTCACGTCAGCCACTACGCCTATAAAAACCTTATATTAAAGCTTTTTTTTTTATAAGTATGATGTATTGTAGAGCTCTAATCCTTTTTGTTTTGCGTTTTGAAATAATAAGCAATAAAATACATCTGCCTTGGGAAGAACCAACAAGAAACCCAACGGAACTTTTTGTCAAAGTAGTTAGATTACAACAATTTATATTGTAATACGCGTTTTAGAAACAGTTTGGAAGCGATTGCCTTATTCCCGTTGGTTACGAGGGCGGCACTGAAAATTTCGGGAATCAAGGAAGTGACACAACATTACTATTTAAAAATGTATTTATTGCTTTTCGAAGTATTCTCCGCGAAATTTTACACATTTTTCCATACGATGGAACCAATCATTGAAGCAACCATTCCATTCGGAAGTTGGGGTCTCCAAAATGGCCGTTTTGTAGGCGTCCACAGCTGCTTCAGGGGATGAAAATCTCTGTCCCCGCAACTTATTCTTTATTTTAGGGAAAGTATAGAAATCATTAGGGCTTAGGTCGGGGCTGTACGGCGGATGTCTTTGTTTTCTTGCTCTAAAAACTCTTTTGTTCTGTGTGCGGTGTGAAAACTCGCATTGTCGTGATGGAGGATGATGCGGCGGTTGCAGTTCTCTTTACGGAGTTCAGAAACGATCTGTGGCAAACAAATGCTAGCATATCATTCTGCATTAACCGTTATTTATCCCTCAAGAGGAATAGTCGTAACATGGCCGGTTTTTGAGACAAACGTAGCTACCCTTTTTTTTTGCAACACTCCGTGAACGAACAATTTTTGTTGGCTTTAACTCATTTTCGAACACCCAGGATTCGTCACCTGATACGATGTTGTATACAGCATTTGAGGTTCCTACGTGGAATCTTTCGAGAGTTCTGACGCACCAAGTAACGCAAGCCGCTTTTTGCTCTTCACAGAGCGAATGCGGTATCCATCGGTAAAACAACTTTTTTACACTTAATTGTTCATGCAAGATTATTTGTATTTGACTCATGCCAATGTCTAAAGTTGCCTGAATTTCACGGTATGTCACATGTCGATCTTCCTCAATCAGCTTACGCACAGCATCAACGTTTTCTTGGGGGACTGCAGTTTTTGGCCGACCTTGACGGGGATCATCACTTAGCTTGACACGTCCACGTTGAAATTTAGCAAACCAGCGGTAAATTGTGGTTTTGGATGGGACTTCATCACCAAATGTCGGTCAACACACTGTTTTTGTGTTAAACCACTTCGAAAGTCATAATAAATCATCGGTCTTGAATTTTCTCGAGTCAATTCCATTTTCTCAACGACTAAACAAGTTTGACAAAACCTTGTGAAAAGACCGAGAATCTTTTTTTTAAATAAATAAATGGTATTCGATTTTTAAAACCAAGGAGTTTTCGATTAAAAGATTTTAATATGACAGGAACAGTAGAAATATTCCATTCCCGATACTTTTAGTGCAGCCTAGGTATCACTTCACAGTGGTATTTATTAATATTGTGATAGCATTTTACTTAGTATTTTTTTTAATTTAATATTAAAAAAAGAAACCTTTGTATTCTTTACTTAAGTAAAGTAAAGAATACAAAGTTCATCCACGACAAATGCGAATATTAAACTAGTATCACATGTCACGCCATGACACTGTCAGTGTCTCCTGTGATTGCAATCTATCAAAAGGAATCGACTGTGTGGATCATATGTTTTTTTGTTTATACTTTAATATTATGGCATTCGTTACGCCGCATTTGATTCCATGTTATCATATCTCTCAAACCGAGGGCAAAAGGTTGTAATTAATGGTGCAATGTCGTCGGAACTTGTGATTAAATTGGTTGTGTGGGAATCCCTCAGGGATCGATACTTAGTCCTTTTTTTTTGTTCTTGGTTCTTTTACATTAATGATCTTCAATGTATGGTGCCAAAATCTCTGAGATAGTTATGTTTGCTGATGATACCTCATATTTATTTAAAGTTAAGAGAAACGACTTCGCTCTGAAACTATTTAAGTTCTTCCTAGGACCGGTTATTTTTCCGAGCCTGTGGTAAAAGTGAAAACTTATTTTTAATAATTATTTAGATATAATCTATACTGAATGAAAATGATTCTATTATATTCCAAACACTGGATATTATTTCCAAACGGTTTGCACCAATCATATTACTTTTAATACAGACAAAAACTAAATGTTTAATAGATAATAGTCTATAGCACCGCAGAATGCCGTAATTAGTTCAAAAATAATAAAGTTACATTTCGATAATTCAACTATTTTTTTTTTCGAAATTTCTATTGGTTCCAAGCTCCAAGGAGCACATTCGCACGGATTCCAGGGTGCACATATTGCGAATCAGCTTCAATTTTTGCTATTAGAAGGATTAGAAAACGTACTGAAGAAGCAACAGTTAAATTAGTCTACTTTGCTTACTTCAACAGGACCGTGTCCCGTGTTGTTCATTGCTTATTTTGTGCTCATTGATAAACCAATTATTTCACGATCCGAGATAAGAGTCCTAGTGAATTCCGAAGTTATTTTGTGAGTAGCGTAATCTTCGCATAATAATTAACTACCTTCACATCGGTGAAAATAAAGATGTGTACATGTCTAAGCAATTAAAAATACAATTGTAGGATTTGTGAAATCCTCCGAGCAACTTTTTAAAATACCTACATCTAAACTATCTTGGAATAAAAATCAAAATGCAAATACATAGTTCATCGTTGAAGAATAATATGGATTGCCCCGTTACTATAGTAAAAAGTTCTCGTCATTTAACTTGCGAGAGAGCAGATTTGTACTGCTATTGAATGTGATATTCTATTCAAGTATTTTCTCGGTCGAGCCAACCCATTAGTATAACATCTATATTATTCTATAAAGTGATTAAAACCACTACTCATATGAAATATAGTTATTTATCACGTTAGAATGGAATGCATACTTATTAATATTATTTTTTTTTTTTCAGAAAATATCAATTCCGGCCCCAACAAATGGCTCATCGAGTGAGTCCACATTTCACTTTAGCATCAACAGTAATGCAGAAATGGAAGGTCCACAGGTATGCAGATAAACAGATTCATTTTTGATTTAAGTTGATTTTATTGATTAATTCTTACAATTACTGTGTTGTTCTTCTCTTTCACGACACTGGAAGATACCACTGTAAATTTAAGTTATGATGAGTGAAGTAATATTTTTTATTTCAGTTATTTATTAGCAAATAAATTTATTGTTTTTATATTTTCGATTATATTTGAGACTTTTACCATACATTATATATTTATATTTTACGATATATTGGTGATATATTGCATGCTTCGGAGTGCTTTTTTGTTTCGTTCGTTTCGTTATCGGGTTAGTGAAAGTTTTGGATGTTTAAACTCCCAGCTTGCTTTCATTGTTGTTCTCTAATTACCGAAATTTGTGCAAGTATTAGTTATAAAATTGTGGTTAGTAGATAATAAAACCTCAAAATGATCATAATAATGTTTTTAATTAAATCTTAATGTCTAGCTATAAACAACTAAAGCTAAGTTTTTATTTAAAGGAAAGGCATCGTCTTGTTTTTTATACCTTATATATTTTTATAATAGATTAATAATACCCAGTGAGCATTGACTATGGAATAGACTTCTTCTATTAGTTTTGATTAAAGTAAAAACTGAACTCTAGGTATTAAACATATAAGAAAGTTACTAGTTACGACGACTTAGAAATTGTTAAATAATTTTTTGCTCTTAAATGTAAGAGTCATCAGTATCGGCAAATTCGCCGTACTATTTTATTATATTGATATCTAATCCTTCGGTGTGAAGGTGACTCAGTTTTTCTTTAAATTGTAAAACAATCTGATCAGCTTTAGCATTCAACTTAACTAACATTAATTTTACCGCACTGAAAGAATGAGCTATACTAAAGTCATGTGGATTAAAAACAATCATGTAGAATCTGGATAAAGAAAGATGATACGCTATCACGTGTGGTAGCTCTCCGCCCCACAGATGTTTAATTTTTTTTAAACCTTGCAAAAAGCAATGGATCTAACCATACAACCTAGGTAGTTCGTGTATTAAATTGATCTCGAAATAAACAACCGGAAATTACACTTACCGGCTTATTCCGGTTTGGGCAGTCTCCCGTTTTTCCTGTACCGGTCTACCGGTGCAAAGTAATACGAGGGTGGATTGAAAAGTACTCGGCCTAACCAAGAAAATAAACACATACTAAATCAGTTATATTTTTATTTTTCTACATAATCACCATCAAGTTCAATACACTTTTGCCACCTCCCCTTCCAAGCATTTAGACCGTTGAAAAAAAATGATTCTTCCTTAGAGTCAAAATATGCGTCTACAGCTGCTTTGACCTCGTCGTTTGTCGAAAATCTTTGACCTCCCAAGTGCTTTTTTAGGTTAGGGAACAGAAAGAAGTCTGATGGTGCCAGATCAGGTGAATACGGCGGATGCGGTAACAGTTCAAAGCCACAGTTGTGAATTTCAGCCATTGACTGTACTGACGTGTGAACACGGGCGTTATCTTGATGAAACAGGACTTTTCTTCTGAGCATTCCTCGGCGTTTTTCTTTTATTTCCTCTCGTAAACGACGTAGTAAGGTGCAGTAGTAATCAGACTTTATAGTCTGACCCCTTTCAAGATAATCAATCATAATCACACCTTTCGAGTCCCAGAATACTGAAGCCATCACCTTATTTGCCGACAAAATCGACTTAGCCTTTTTAGGGGGTGGTGAACCAGGTCTTCTCCACTGTTTTGATTGTTGTTTTGTTTCCAGTGTACAGTAATGAACCCATGTTTCGTCCTTAGTAACAAAACGATTCAAAAAATCATCTGCATCGGCTTCAAATAACTCCAAACAGTCGCGTGAAATAGTCAATCGCGTCCTTTTTTGTTCAACTGAAAGCAGTCGCGGAACCCACCTCGCAGACACCTTGTGGAAACCCAACTCGTTGACAATGATGTTTTGAGTTCATTCATAAGAGATGCCTATAATCTCGGCTATCTCTCTAATTTTTAATCTGCGGTCTCCCATTATTAAATCAAGTACTTTTTTTAATATTTTCGTCAGTAGTTGACGTCGAAGGCCTTCCAGAGCGGGGTTCATCTTTCACACTCTCTCTACCACGCTTAAATTCTGCTATCCATTTTTTGACGGATGAATATGACAGAGCACAATCGCCTAATGTACTGACCATGTCATCATGGATGGCTTTTGATGATAGCCCCTTCTTATGGAGGTACTTAATGACGGCACGCTGCTCGATTTGCTCCATTCGCGGAAATTATGTCCGATTACTTTGTTAATAAATTTATAAAATCACAACTAATTATCGCACACGTTTCGAACTTCACACAATGAACTAGTCTGAACTGAACTAAATAATGTGGGTAGATTTGATTTTTAGAATTGAATGGATCTGTGTTAGGCCGAGTACTTTTCAATCCACCCTCGTATTAGCTTTAATGTCGCTATTGACAACCAATCTCTAAACAGAAATTGAGCGATTATTGGCTATATATAACTGTCCATTATACAATATAAACACATGGACATTGTTTACGTATAATATGTTTACGATTCCGTGCAGTGCAACTATCGGATTATTCTTATTATTAACACGTTATCGTAGCTTTAAGCACAGAATAAACAATACAAGTACTACGTACTTTCAGGTAGTTTAATTATAACATGACTACGTTGTTGTCGTGTTAGTAAAATTGTAATATTTTGCATCCAGAGCTCAAGAGACGGCGGCACCCTAAGTTTGCAAACGAATTCAATAGCATTATTTACTTATGCTGCCGTGTAGTGGCGGTTAAGAATATCCACTACCCCATATCTTCCCGTGGGTGTCGTAAGAGGCGACAGAGGAAGACAGGCAGGAGATGGGCAGCAGCGTCTTCCTGATGACAACTGTGACGTAATAAAAAACTGCGGTTGCCAACCCGCTCGCCAAGCGTGGCAACTATGGCAAATAACCCCCCAATGAATAAATACACAAACAGACGGCCCCCGGTCCCCGGCGGCCCCGCTATTCCTGGCTACGGTGGCGACCACGGTAACGGCGGGGCAGGGGGTGCTAAGAATCTCCGGTGGAGGTTCGGTTGCCACCTACGACGACTCGACCTGGCAACATATAACGCACGCACCCTGAGGACTGACGAGAAGATACTGGAGCTGGAAGAAGAGGTAGACAAGTTGCGCTGGCATATTATTGGATTATCCGAGGTCCGAAGAGAGGGGGAGGACACGGCAATCCTCGAGTCCGGCAACTTGTTCTATCACCGGGAGGGCGACCATCTGTCCCAAGGAGGTGTCGGATTTATCGTCCACAAATCTCTCGTCAACAACGTTGTAAAGATTGGGAGTGTGTCGACGAGGGTCGCGTACCTGATACTCAGAATCACCAAACGGTATTCGCTGAAGGTCATTCAGGTTTACGCACCAACCTCGGCACATCCCGATGAGGAGGTGGAGGAAATGTATGAGGATATTTCCAGAGCCATACATTCCTCCAAAACCTACTACACGGTGTTGATGGGAGACTTCAACGCAAAACTGGGCACAAGAGAAAGCGGTGAGCTGAAGGTAGGGAAATTTGGAGTAGGGCAACGGAACCGAAGGGGCCAGCAGCTGGCCGACTTTATGGAGAAAGAGGGACTCTTTATGATGAACTCTTTCTTCCAGAAGCGGCCCTACAGGAAGTGGACCTGGTCGAGCCCCGACGGTTCGACAAAAAATGAGATTGACTTCATTATGACGACCAGACGCCAACTGTTCAGTGATGTCTCAGTGATCGCAAGGGTGAAAACTGGCAGCGATCACCGAATGGTTAGAGGCACACTGAACCTAAACGTTAAGTTGGAGAGGTCTCGTCTAATGAAGTCAACGCTCCGTCCCCCTCGTGCTCTAATCCAGAATCCCGAAACCTTTCAGCTCGAGTTACGTAACCGCTTCCAGTGCCTAGAAGATTGCAATGCAGTGGACGATATGAACGACAAGCTCGTGGAAACTGTCCATGCGGTCGGAGTTAAGTTCTGCAAGACCCGCCGCAGAAGAACACAAAAACTCTCCGATCACACTCTTAATCTCATGGCTGTTAGACGGGAGATGAGGCTGCAATCGTCAACAGATTTGACAGCATACAAGCAACTGAACAGACAGATCTCCAAATGCATACGGCGAGACTTACGCAACTTTAATACTTCTCGTATTAAAGAAGCGATCGAGCGGAACCAGGGCTCCAAAGTCTTTGCCAGAGATCTGTCTGCCAGAAAGAGCCAACTGTCAAGGCTGAAGACTGAGTGTGGCAACATCGTTTCCGGGACACCTGAGATTTTGAGTGAGATTGAGAGGTTCTATGGGCAGCTGTACACATCATCGTTGGAGCCACACGCAAGTGTGAGTAACGATCCAAGAGCAAGTCTTATCCGACACTATTCCGATGATATCCCGGACGTCAGTCTAAGCAAGATTAGAATGGCTCTCCAGCACCTTAAAAACGGCAGGGCCCCAGGCGAGAATGGAATTACAGCGGAGCTTCTGAAAGCGGGTGGAACACCGGTACTTGAAGTCCTTCAGAAGCTCTTCAATTCCGTCCTCCATGGTGGCACTACTCCAGAGGCGTGGAGCAGAAGTGCGGTGGTCTTGTTCTTTAAGAAAGGCGACAACGCTCTCTTAAAGAACTACAGACCGATTTCCCTTCTGAGCCGCGTCTACGTGCTGTTTTCGAGAGTCATTACGAATCGTCTCGCACGCAGACTTGACGACTTCCAGCCTCCCGAACAAGCCGGTTTCCGAAAAGGCTTCAGTACCATAGACCACATACATACCCTGCGGCAGATTGTACAGAAAACTGAAGAGTACAATCTGCCACTTTGCCTGGCGTATGTGGACTATGAGAAAGCCTTTGATTCCGTCGAAATTTGGGCGGTGCTACAGTCCCTTCAGCGGTGCCAAGTTGACTGTCGGTATATCGAAGTGCTGAAGTGTTTGTACAGTAGGGCTACGATGGCTATCCGAGTACAGAACCAGAGCTCGAAACCTATCCAACTGCAGAGAGGTGTAAGACAGAGTGACGTTATATCCCCGAAACTCTTCACCGCTGCATTGGAAGACGTTTTCAAGCTACTGGACTGGAAAGGATACGGTATTGACATCAATGGCGAGTACATCACTCACCTTCGATTTGCCGACGATATAGTCCTTATGGCAGAATCGCTGGAGGACTTAAGCACTATGCTCAATGACCTCAATAGTGCCTCCCAACGGATAGGTCTTAAGATGAACATGGACAAAACAAAGATCATGTTCAATGTCCATGTCACACCTATGCCGGTAGTTGTTGGGAGCACTATGCTCGAAGTTGTTGACGAATACGTTTACCTGGGACAAATAGTCCGACTAGGTAAGTCCAACTTCGACCGAGAGGTCAATCGACGGATTCAACTCGGCTGGGCAGCGTTCGGGAAATTACGGCATATCTTTTCGTCAGGTATACCTCAATCTCTAAAAACTAGATTGTACAACCAGTGCGTGTTGCCAGTGATGACTTACGGATCTGAGACGTGGTCCTTCACTGCTGGCCGTATGAGGACGCTTAAGGTCGCTCAGCGAGCTATGGAGAGGGCTATGCTCGGAGTTTCTCTGCGTGATAGACTCAGAAATGAGGATATCCGCAGTAAAACCAGAGTGACCGACATAGCCCAACGGATTAGTAAGCTGAAGTGGCAATGGGCCGGCCATATAGCTCGAAGAACCGATAACCGATGGGGAAGAAAGGTTCTCGAGTGGCAGCCTCGTACCGGTAGGCGTAGTGTAGGGCGACCCCCCACTAGATGGAGTGACGACCTGGTAAGACATGCAGGAAGTCGATGGATGCAGGTGGCTCAGGACCGTGCTTTGTGGCATTACTTGGGGGAGGCCTATGTTCAGCAGTTGACTTGTGAAGGGCTGTAATGATGATTATTTACTTATGACCCGTATAGGTACTGGGCTCTCAAAAAAATCTGATTTCATTTAAAATGGATTGAATGAAAGGATAGAAATTGTTACATCATTATAGAAATTTGGGAAAAATCATCACTGGGAAACAATCATTTTTACCATCCTTATATAAAATAAAAAATTGACAACAAAAGATAGTAATGGGCTGTAATACGTCGCTCTCGGAAAAATAAAAATGTGAACAAAATTTTATACATAACGTTAATAAAAAATAATTATGTAGTAATAAGATAAATATTTTATGTATAAATAATGCTACAAAGTCACACTTGATTCTATTATCTGATTATCGACTGACGGCCAAGTATCCGAGGATTTCTAACGAATTGCCACATATATTTTTATAAATACTGTTTACTGTAGGTACATCAAAATCGAATTCATATTATGCTAACTAACTTCCAAATTGAATGTTTTCGTTGTTTTAAGTATGTTATTATCTCGTTCTATTGTAGAATTAGTTCATATTAGTTGTATAGTCTGTTCACTAAGATAATGTCGGTACACACAGATGCACACTTATATTTTGCTTTTATTATTTTTATTTAATAAAAATAATAATTGTTAAATTAAATGCTTTTCTATTCTTTTCTTTTCTTCTTTTCTTTTGAATATAAATAATAAACATAAGTTAGGTAGCAAAGAAGCTTTCACTACGGCGTTTCATTCTGAAATTTCAAACCCATGCGGGGGTGTACGCGGCTACTTGATGTCACGGCGACGCCTTTGATGCGGCACGTGCCAAGGCGGCGCGACACAAAGGCGGCCGTATCTTATTGAACAAACCATAGAAACTTACAACAAAACTGTAATGTTAGGTATGAGTATGTAAGTAAAGAGTATTTACTGATAGAAGTAGCATATCAAGTGTAAACACAGTAACAGCAAAGGTGTGAACACGTGGCTATTTGATTGCAGGGTTCGTTCGAGTGCGTGCGCAGCGGGGGCGCGCGGCGGCTTGAGTCCTGCGGGCCGCTGCCGAGGCGAATGCGCGTCCAGGCCAACGACGACTCGTACGAGGCTACCAAGGACCGCATGGCGCGCACCGTCGCCGCCGAACAGAGTAAATGGTGAGTAGTGACCACACCGTATTTCGTGTGATATTTGCAAAGTTATACAAACATGAAACAAAGATTTCCAAAAATAATTATCTAAACTCATCTCATTGGTTGAGTTTTTACGATCTGCGCGCTACCCTCGCGATACTTATCACTACTTATAATTATCACTAGTCACTGAGATTTTGATTCAGCATATTTGTATTGATGGATTCATCATGAGCAGTTGCACCGCGCGCAGTTGTCGTTGATATTTAGAGAAAGACAGTGAAAAAAAAATCATTTAGATTTTTGAAGGAAGAATTTGTAAATCCTTTACATTTTTGTTATTTTCTCCACTCTAAGAAATTGTTGTTTAATATCTCTTATTAAATAACATGTTTATTAGTTAAGGAAGTAATAAAGAAAACTATTGTTCACAGCACCCGCGTTATAAAACCTAATCAGACGGACATAGGAAGGCGGGTTAAAATGCGCCTCTCGCATCCCATGTACTCGGGTGGGTCGGCGGCGGCGCAACTAGCGGAAAGGGCCGAGCGGGCCGAGAAAGAGCGGCTCGAACGTGCCGAGATGGACCGAGCGGAGAGAGCCGAGAGAGAGCGAGTCGAGCGGGCCGAAAGGGAACGCGTCGAAAGGGCCGAGAGGGAACGGGTCGAAAGGGCCGAAAGGGAACGGGTCGAAAGGGCCGAGCGGGAACGGGTGGAGAGAGCCGAGAGGGAGCGAGTTGAGAGGGCTGAGCGAGAGCGAATAGAGAGGGCCGAGCGAGAGCGAGTGGAGCGGCCGGAGCGGACGGAGAGGGCGGAGCGCGGCGAGCGGGCGGCGCCGCGCGGTGCGCCCCCACCGCAGCCGCGCCCGCCGCCCGCCGCCGACGTCTCGCGCCGCTCCATCAAGTGAGTACCGCACGAACGCACGCACACGCACACGTACACCTACACGTACACGTACGTACTGCGCAAATACATAACGCGTAGCACAACAATAGTATTTTATTTACTGTCTGACTATAATTTTCGTTCGTTTTTGTAAAAAGTACAATATTTAATAGATTTTCGACCAGCATAAATTAAGTGTATTTATAAATAGACTTAGATGCATAACAACATCTTGGATAAAGTCTGCTTCTCCTGCTGCATCTAGAGTAAAGATTAGTTTTAGATATTTCAAATCTAGCAAAGATAGATATGATTGTTCCTACATTAGCCTGCAACACGATATTCTTATGGCTGCCGAACAAACGTGAAAATACTTGTTGACTTCGCCACAGGGTGCATAGTTGTAAACCGGTAGCTAGATTAGATAGATTTTTTTTAAATGTAACAAAGGCAACGTAAACAACTTCCCGCAACAATGTCGTAAACTTCGGATAAAATTATGTAACTTGTTTGTAGTTTCAAGAAATTGTATTTCTGTTTAATTATGTTTTCCTTATTTACATCACGTGGCGAGGAAAACCTTACCCCACCTTCTTGGTAGAGGTTTCGTCATTATTCTAAACCACTTGAACTCGTAAACTGTATCTCACTGTTCGCTAAAACAAAATTAACTTATTGTGAAATTGTATTGTACTATTGTTTTTAAATCAAGAATTGTATTCAACACGGGCGCGAAATCATTCCAGTGATTCATTATATTTCGTAATAAAAATATTCACGTGCGTTCTATTCGTAGATAATTTACCATATCGTTATCACAAAGCATAACATCATAAAATGCGGTCGACACTTACAGGAAGTGTTGGTCGACGCGGTGTACAGCGAAGATATCTATAGTTTCTTTTTCCTAAAATGACGTTCGGTAATCATAATGTAATAGACGTCATTTTATATTATTAAACACATACGTAACTTAATGCAACACAATTTTATTTGAGATATACAAAATCGTGTCTTAAAACCTTTCACAGCAAGTTAATTAAGTACTAATTGTTATTGTAAGTGCTATTATTATTAAATATTGATAATAATTATATCATATGAAATATGAAAGCTAAATCCGTAGCAGATCGAGAGTGGTAGATCTTGTACTGTAGAAGAAAATGCAACCACGGCATGTCAAATATTGACTGCTGAACAAAAGGGGTCATTTGATATGCCATGCTTGGGAGGTTTTTTTTTAAATTTTTAGTTGTTATTAAGAAGATGCTGTCCATCTCGTGGTTTGTTCTCTTATGTCGCCTCTTACGGTACCCACGGGATTGGGTAGTAGATATTCTTACACCGCCACTACACGGTCATATAGTATCATTAATATTTTTTCCTTGAAGAATTATTATATTTTACAACTTAAATATATTATGACTTTATAAAACCACAAAGAAAACTGCTGAAGCTCTTCAAGTTGCAAGAACTATTTTAAACTTAAATACGTATATTAGAAACTTGCATCTTTTATTGACGTCTGCACGTCATGTAGCATTCTCATCGCAGCAATTTAAGTTTACATTGTGATTATAACGAGACTAATATTATGCTCATGCGGCACATGTAACGACCAAGGTCACGCACAAACCGTTTACAAATGAAAACGGTTCTCAAGGCAATTTCCGTTACTTTGATCTGTTATAAAATGGCATATATACATTTTGTATGTAACACTCGCCCACTTTATTCAAAGCATTAACAAAAAAAAATTTCTGTCTTTTTAAAAACGTTACCTCCACACTAGCATTTCCTCCTGTATCATGGGGGCAGCAGTTTACAAATATAAATTTCAGAAGGACAAACATCCAGACCTGGAACAATTACTTGTAGACTAAATAAATACTGGTTCCGTGCGGGATTCGAACCCGCAGCCCCCAGCGCAGCCACTTATTGCTAAGCCACTGCGCCACGGAGCCGTCATAATTTAATAATTTGGTTTCGAAATATCTGGACAATTTGTCATGTCCTACTAAAAATCCTTAAATTCGCAAAAAAAAAAATTGTGGGTCACTCATGGGCAAAAAAACTATCCTATCTCTCAAGTTGGACCAAACTGCACATGGTGTGCAAATTTGATTAAAATCGGTTAAGTAGTTTAGGAGTCCATCGTGGACAAACAACGTGACACGTAATTTATATATATTAAGATTAATATTAAAAATAAATATTTGGCTATATTTTTATATTGTATCAGCCTTACTTTTATTCATTGATCACTTAAATTAAGTATTAATTATCTCTATACTTGTCTCTTTCACACCATTTAAGGGCGGTGTAATAATATCTACCACCGTATAACAATTAGGAAATTAAAAAACTGCGGATTCCAACCTGTCTGCTAAGCGAGACAACTATGGCACATATCCCCCTTATTATGTTCTATGGGTTGTCCTATTTTTGGCAGTGAACATTGATTCGCTGAATGGATAGATAGATAGATATCTTTTTCTATTGTTATTTAATGAAGAGAGAGGGAGAGAGAGAGCAATTTTTTTTATACAATAGCGTGACAATCGAGCATACAGTCCACCTGATGGTAAGTGGTTACTGTGTCCCATATATATCTACATCTATCCTCTATTACGAATCAAAATACAGATGCATTGTCACCCGTGAGGACTTAGTTGGAATGCCTCGTTTCCAGTAAAAAGGGTCTCCGGTTCTCTACACTTACCATACGAAACACAGCAGCATTATACTACTATTTGACGCTGGTATTCTGTGAGAGCGTGGTCCTTCCTTGATCAAGCCGACCCATTCGTGCTACAACTATACTACTAATATAACTGCAGCATGGCTCTACCATGTTTAATTTTAAGCATTTCTTCAATTGACTTCGATTTGTATCTTGTAAAGCTATATATTATGCTTTTTTTTAATATTTTAATTGTGAGTTCTCTAAACAAAGTGTTTTTTCTGTTCTAGTGAAAGACTTATACAATTATTAGCACTGAAACCCTTTAAGAAGCCCGAACTATATGCCAGACTCAATAGTGGTAAGTGACGATTCCAATTTTTGTCTGGGCCGCCGCTTCAAACTCAACTTTATTAACATTAACCCTAAATTTGCAGAGGGCATCAAAGAGAAGGATCGTGGCGAAGTTAATAAAATCCTTCCCAAGATCGGCTCCCTCAAGGACAACTGCTATCACCTGCGTAGGCACATATGGAATGATGTCAACGAGGACTGGCCTTTTTACACGGAGGAGGAGAAACGGATGCTCAAGAGGTTTGTCTTCTTCCTTGCAGTATCACAACATCAACACTGTAATCACATTCGCATAAACTTTCCCTTAAAAGACTTACGATATTGGATGCTCATAATGAAACTTATTTGCAATAAACCGTACAAAACAACAGAATAGTTGCGATAACAATGTTAATTGGTGTCGATTGCAGGTATCCATATATTATGGTTTTGTACGTCCTGCGTGATGCACTTGAAGTTAGCGTAACAAAATGTCTGAAAAACCTATTTTTATCTTGCATGCATAGAGTTAACTATTTAATTGCCTAAATAGTGTCTTATTTGAATCAAGGAATTGAACAAATGTTTGTCTTTAATGTTAAATAGTTATTTCATTAAACCGAAAAAAAACTCAAAGGTGCAAAAAAAGAGGCTATAAAAATAACTGGACATTAACTGTTAATTGTAGTTATATAGCTCTAATTTTTAAATATACAGTTTTCGTAACGACTATGTAGTATTTACTTAATGTGTGACACTAACTAATGCATTATTCTTTATAATTTAGAAATAAGTGAATCTAAAATAGGGTTTACACAGCAGAACACTTGTGTCGTGTGTCTGAACAAGGTTTTACTTTGGAATATACAAGTTAACCTTAATATCTTGTTTAAAAAAATTATATAATGTTATTAAATGTTCAATGACAAAGATACGATATCAAAATAAATAGATTGACCTCATTAATAAACAACCTTGTCTTAAAGTCTAAGGTTATAATTTTTACTCATTCCTTTGTGGACTGTTTTAGAACGGCCTCAGTTTTAAATTGACATGAAAACATTTACTTAATGTTATTATTTTTTGAGATTTTTGAATAGTAATAATTTTAATATACTTGTAGTTTCTACCATATTCCTTTGGCTCTCAAACCATCGTCACCAGTCACTGTTCACAGTAAATGCACTAAAGCTACTGCAATGCAAATGTTTATTAAGACGTTTATTATAATAAATTTTATAAAAATATATATATCTTGCATCCAACATTTTACATTTTACATAGAATAATTTTTTATTACAATTCCATTAATTGCTTTATTAGCAGATATATCGTAAACATTATTTATAAACCTTAATTTTTATTGTATGTTATTAGGCCTTAAGCGCTTTATTTTGGGTTATAAATCTCATACAGCCATTTATGTTTCATCACATTTTATGATCATATGCTTTCATTACTCACACAGGTAATACTTTTAGTGAAATAGATAATATATCTGTATCCGAATCGATGTGCTGTAAAGTTGAAGTTTGATGACTGTACTTACTCAAAATATTCGTATTTCAAGAAATTATGATAGTTTTGGGTTATAAATCTCATACAGCCATTAATGTTTCATCACATTTTATGATCATATGCTTTCATTACTCACACAGGTAATAATACTTTTAGTGAAATAGATAATATATCTGTATCCGAATCGATGTGCTGTAAAGTCGAAGTTTGATGACTGTACTTACTCAAAATATTCGTATTTCAAGAAATTACGATAGTTTTGGGTTATAAATCTCATACAGCCATTTATGTTTCATCACATTTTATCATCATATGCTTTCATTACTCACACAGGTAATAATACTTTTAGAGAAATAGATAATATATCTGTATCCAAATCGATGTGCTGTAAAGTCGAAGTTTGATGACTGTACTTACTCAAAATATTCGTATTTCAAGAAATTATGATAGTTTTGGGTTATAAATCTCATACAGCCATTTATGTTTCATCACATTTTATGATCATATGCTTTCATTACTCACACAGGTAATAATACTTTTAGTGAAATAGATAATATATCTGTATCCGAATCGATGTGCTGTAAAGTCGAAGTTTGATGACTGTACTTACTCAAAATATTCGTATTTCAAGAAATTATGATAGTTTTGGGTTATAAATCTCATACAGCCATTTATGTTTCATCACATTTTATGATCATATGCTTTCATTACTCACACTTTTAGTGAAATAGATAATATATCTGTATCCGAATCTATGTCTTGTAAAGTCGAGTTGTCTAAGTTTGTAAGAGTTTATTATATCAGCCTTCACACTATATGACTGTACTTACTCGAAATATTCGTATTTCAAGAAATTATGATAGTTTTTTGGTAACTCTAAAAAGACTTGACATTTCCTGTGACAGTATTATACTGACATACATGAGGATTAAGATGAAATGCCTCATTTCCAGTAAAAATGTTATCTTGTTCTCTACACTCACTATACATACACTATGCATAACACAGCAGCATTAAACTGCTATTCATTCATCCATTAAGTGTATTTGTGAACATGGCCTCTTCTCTAGATTGCCTCACACAATAGATATATGCCATAGTTGTCACGTTTGGCGGTCGGATGGGCTACCGCAGTTTCTTGTTGTCTGCAGCTGTTATCAGGAAGATTCTGCCCACCCATTTTCTATTTTAGGTCCCTCTGCCGCTGCCACGGGTGGGCTCACTCAACCTCTTAAGGGGAAATAGAAAAAATACTACCTCAAATGGCTTAGCAAGATCCTTCGCTATGCCGAAAATACTGCAGCATTAATTTTGAAATAAATATATGGTAAAGTTGAGGATTAATGTTAGATGAAAACACGATTCCGTAAAATTTTTTCGATAGAAATAAAATCCAAAGTTACCTCCAAACTGAACAATAAACTGCTGGTATACATAAAATACTTTAAATTAGATCATGAAACTTTGCATAATAACTAAACTTACTATAAATCAGGGCTTATGTTTTTTATTTTTTTTTAAATTACCATTATTTTCACTGTAAAAAGAAATTACCTAAACTATCGGCGTCTTGAAGGTTGTTTCCTGCCACCCGATTAGTCTAGCTTTGGCTTTTGAGCGGGAAGGCTGTATCTATGTATAAATTAAAATAGGAAATAACCGTAATAAAAATAAACAGCGACTGGGTTGGCGTAAAGAAACAGGCATAAATATGATAAACCTAATGAAATAAGTATCTAACGACCTATTTACTTACAGTATTAGTGATTACAAACATGTCGGTAAATAACATAGGACGCGCGGGGAAGTGGGGGCGATATTAGAGTTTGAGCTGAGTTACTTTAGCCCCTTAACTACCTGGTCAAGTGCACGCGATAATCTATTCTTATGTGTTTATAAATTATTTAATAAAAGAAAGATAATTTAATTTGCAGGCGGAAACCTCAAAACCTTACCCCGCCTCTGAGTAGCGACTCTGCGAACTCGCTGTCGCCGCGAGCGTCCCCCGGGGGCAGCAGCGGCAAGCGCGCGCCCTCCGGCGGCGAGGACGCGCCCGCGGCGAAGAAGAAGCGCATCTCGCACTACCGCCGCCCCTCGCCGCCCTCCTCCGGCTACGCCACCACCTCGTCGGGCGAGCGCCACGCCTCCGACAACGAGGACGACCGGACCAACGGTACTGTCACACTGTCTCCTGCACCACAGACTGCCCTCTGCCGTACTTCAGCAGGTACACCGCCTAGCCAAGCGGACAATCTTATAATCTCTCAACTGTCCCGGCCCAAATGGTCGCTTTGGCGCATACTGTCCAACCCTAAACGAGTGATTTATTGCCTACGTGGCGCGTGTCATTAAAATGGCAATATCTTAATAATTATGAATGGAAACTATAAAATAATATGTTGTTAGAATTATTGTTAAGTAAGCTAATAGAATATGTGTAAATGTGTATATTCTTTCACCTTTTTTATATTTTCTAAATTCCATGGTAAAAATGCTAAAAGCAATTTTTTTCCAGTTTGGTGAATAAAAAATGTAAAAAAAAACGATTATTTCAATAAATATTTATTTTGTTTACAATAAGATAAATACACTTTACAATAATTAATAAAAAAACAACTCTGCGTACATTTTTTTTACACCACAAGCTCGACAATAATGTACCACTTAAGATGACCCGAAACAGGTACAAAAAAAGGCACATTTTGTACTTCAATAGCGACAATTCCATACCGAGATAAGTAGGTTAATGATATTAGAACAATTTAGTATGAGTTAGAGGGAGATACCAGGCGGTCCCATAATGAACTGGCCTGATATAGTTCAACGCGACATGTCGCTACATGTTGTGTTGCATTAAATAGTACGTTTATCGTGCACTTAATATAAGAAACATGCATCGACTTGAAATGCTTAGTCTTAGTTTAACAGGCATTTGAATAACGAGAGTCGCGTATTTTTTCAAAATGTCGAAAACTGAGTATCGAAGTGTCATAAAGTTTCTGTTTAAAGGAAGGTTTATCCCCTGCCCAAATAAAAGAACGATTGGATGGCGTGTATAAGAAGTCTGCCCCCTCCTATAGCACAGTGAAAAATTGGGTGAAAGAGTTTCGCCTCGGGAGAGAAACCGTCGAAATCTGGCCACGACGGTCGACCTGTGGAAGTGCTCACTCCCGAAACGATTGCTCTTATCGAAGAGGAGGTTCTGAGTGACCGCCGTTTGAAGATTAGAGAAATTGCAGCAAGGCTTGGGCTCTCTAAGAGTACCGTTCATCGCGCGATCCATGAACATCTTCACATGAAAAAAGTGAGTGCAAGATGGGTACCGAAACTTCTTTCAGCGGTACAGAGATAGGAAAGAGTGCGCTGCGCTTCGGAGTTTTTGGATCTTTGTGGCGAAAATCCAAAGACTGTGATCGAGCGGCTAGTGACTGGTGATGAAACTATGATCTTGTATTATGATCCACAAAGCAAGCACTAGTCAATGGCATGGCGTTATAAGGGTGAAAAGCCCCCTAGAAAGGCAAAGGTGCAACAATCGACTAAAAAACTGATGTGCACAATATTTTGGGATTTTCAAGGCATTTTGATGGTGGATTTTAAAGAACGTAATACAGTCGTGAACGGCGAATATTATGCTTCTTTAATATATAAATTACGAGACAAGATAAAGGAAAAACGAAGAGGCAAGCTGTCTAAAGGTGTCCTGTTGCTCCATGACAACGCCCCTGTTCATACCGCTGGTGTTTCAAAGGATGCAGTTCGTCAATGCGGGTTCACAGAAGTTCAACATCCACCTTACAGTCCAGACATGGCCCCGTCCGACTATTATTTATTTCCAAATTTAAAGCGGGACTTAAGAGGAAGAAAATTTTCAAGCGATGAAGAGTTGCAGGCGGCCGTCTTCAGTCATTTTGAGGATAAAAAATGTGATTATTTTTATAAAGGTTTAGAGATGTTGATTCACAGATGTCAGAAGCGTGTTAGTATTCATGGTGATTATATTGAAAAATAAAATTGGTTTCGTTTCATTTCCTTCATTGGTTCATAGTTAGGCCAATTCATTATGGGACCGCCTACGTACAGATACATTTACTACAGCTGTTTCATGTCTAAAGGTTGTGGACAAATGCGTACTTTTTAATTATCTTTGATTTAATTACCTTTATAAGGTTTTGGACAGTGGAGAGGATAACTGATATTTAAGTTTAAAACATATTCCAGACAATTTTATATTAAATTATCTGTGTAAAGATTATTTAGAAAATAATAGGTCCTTGCATAGGAAATTAGCGTTTTGTCGTACTGACCAATTTGATCTTTGGTTGAGAATTCCAAATACAAATTTAAAAATTCATTTAGCTGGTACATTTGAGTTTTGAAAACAGTCATTCATTTGTTTTTTCCTCATTATTTTTGAAGTGAAAACTTCTTTAGCGGCGTTGTACACTTTTTTGTAATGGGTAAAAAATGTTAAAGTCGCGTCAGGACACGAGACCCTGATCGAAAATGCGTAAGACGGATGGAGAGAGAGAGACAGCCGGCGCGGCGTAGGAGAGGAAGTATCCCCCTCCCTTTCTACGGCGCAGCCAAAATGTATGCCTGCGCCTGCTGTGTCGTTTAGTTGCGTACGATAGCGCATACGATAGTACTTTTATTATACTGATAATTAAAGCAATTCGTGCAAAATTATTCCCTAACCATTCCAAAATATCAAAAATGCACAACGTTAATATTCAAGTTTTCACTTCTGCCGGCACTCCCGGATTGCAACACGTCGTTTATTTATTTTTTTGGCGTCGTTTATTACCACACAATGGAAAACATGAAATATTGGTACATTTACGAGTACGAGATCTACCGTGGCACCAGTGCTGCAGAAACAGCTCGATGGATTAATGATGTGTAAGGTGCTGGTGTCGCAAAAGAAAGCACACGCTACGTTTTTGGTTTCAACGTTTTTGTTCTGGAAATTTCGACCTTCGGAACCAACCCCACGGATGGCCGAAGACAAAAGTGGAAAATGAAGAATTAAAGGCTATTGTGGAAGCGGTTACATCAGAAAGCACTTGAGAGATAGCTGCAGGCTTCGGGGTAAGTAATAAAATTGTATTAATCCACTTGAAGCAAATCGGGAAAATAAAAAAACTTGAACAATGGGTACCTCATGAATTGAGTGAATCGAACTTGCAAACACGCGTCGACTGCCCTGTTACTTTGCTCAACTGACATAAAAATGAAGGGGTTCTAAATAGAATCATTACTTGTGATCAAAAGTGGATACTGTACGATAATCGGAAGTGCTAGTCGCAATGGCTGAACCCAGGAGACCCAGCCAAATTCTGCCCTAAACAAAAATTGACTCAGAAAAAGTTACTTGTGAGTATTTGGTGGACTAGCGCCGGTGTCGTTCACTATAACTTTCTAAAATCTGGCCAAACGATTATGGCAGATATCTATTGTCAGCAACTGCAAACCATGAAGGAAGAACTCGCTGCTAAACAACCGAGGTTGGTCAATCGCTCTAGGCCACTGCTGCTTCACGACAATGCAAGACCACACACTGCATAACAATTAGATGAGCTACTAGCGATATCCACCGTACTCCCCGGACCTTGCTCCACCCTGACAGATTACCATTTTTTCCAGAATTTGGACAACTCCTTCATCATCATCATCATTCATAGCCTTTCACAAGTCCACTGCTGAACATAGGCCTCCCCCAAGTAATGCCACAAAGCACGGTCCTGAGCCACCTGCATCGATCGACTTCCTGCATGTCTTACCAGGTCGTCACTCCATCTAGTGGGGGGGTCGCCCTACACTACTACTACCGGTACGAGGCTGCCACTCGAGAACCTTTCTTCCCCATCGGTTATCGGTTCTTCGAGCTATATGGCCGGCCCATTGCCACTTCAGCTTACTAATCCGTTGGGCTATGTCGGTCACTCTGGTTTTACTGCAGATATCCTCATTTCTGAGTCTATCACGCAGTGAAACTCCGAGCATAGCCCTCTCCATAGCTCGCTGAGCGACCTTGAGCGTCCTCATACGGCCAGCGGTGAAGGACCACGTCTCAGATCCGTAAGTCATCACTGGCAACACGCACTGGTTATACACTTTAGTTTTCAGAGATTGAGGTATACCTGACGATAAGATGTGTCGTAATTTTCCGAACGCTGTCCAGCCGAGTTGAATCCGTCGATTGACCTCTCGGTCGAAGTTGCACTTACCTAGTCGGACTATTTGTCCCAGGTAAACGTACTCGTCAACAACTTCGAGCATAGTGCTCCCAACAACTACCGGCATAGGTGTGACATGGACATTAAACATGATCTTTGTTTTGTCCATGTTCATCTTAAGACCTATCCGTTGGGAGACACCATTGAGGTCATTGAGCATAGTGCTAAGGTCCTCCAGCGATTCTGCCATAAGGACTATATCGTCGGCAAATCGAAGGTGAGTGATGTACTCGCCATTGATGTTAATACCGTGGACAACTCCTTACAAGGAAAAAAATTCAACTCCGATGCGGCAGTCCAAACCGCCTTCATAGAGTTTATTGATTCTCGCCCCCATGTGTTATTTAGTAAAGGGATCAATGAACTACCTATGAGATGGTAAAAGTGCATAGATAACAACAGTGCATACTTTGATTAATTAAATATATTTTACAAAAAAAATTGACTTTATAATCCTCCCGTACAAAACGCCAATTTTGATATGTAAGGACCTAATATTATAAGCTTCAACTGTTAGAATTTCTCTTACGTCATGGACTTTTACAAGTATAAATTACACATTGAGAAACAATTAAATATGATTAAAATGAATGAATAAAATGGTTAATGGTTATGAATATGGTTGAAATTTAAATGCCCCATACTGTGAAAGTATACCTGTTTTTAAATAAAACAAACTCATTTGCATAAATTATATATTTAAAGTCTATATTTCAAATTGATCAATTCCCCCTTTATTGAGGTCAATTAGTAATGGCGCCGGTAGTAAACAATAAGTATTTTTAAATTTTATTACAAAAGTACTTAAAAACGCGTTTATTATCACTCCGAAAACGTATGTAAGCTAATTTCAGAAAAATATTTGGATACGCGTTATTATCTTATAGCAATCTTTTAATGGTAATAAAGTTTGTTGCTGTATAATGGAATGATACTGATTCAAATAATGCCTAATTTAATGGTAATTTCTACTATTCTCAAATCAATATAAATTTGTATATGTATAGATAATATAAACTAATATTTTATTCAATACATTATAATAGTTCTTGATAGTCAGTTTTCTTTTTACCTTAGGTATATAAATATTATGTTCTCTTATATAATCTATTGTACATTATAATCAGCACTAAGCTAAGTATAGTTTTATAACAACTATATCTACTATTAATGGCTCTTTCTTAGGCTCCTTCCTGTCAATTATACAGTTTATGCATGATAAAGATTTTAAATAAAATGTATGTTTATTTTACTTTGCAGTTAAAAAGGACAATGGTTACACGCTAAACTTTAACACTGTCAAGGAGCTCTGTCCCAGTCCTGTTAAAGCAAACGGTTTTAGAAGTAGTCCTCCAACGGAGCAAACCAGTATAACAGGTATTTTGACTTTTTGTTTTATGTACATAAACATAATCACTCACGCCTGTCACCCAGAGGGGTAGGCAGAGACTACAGACTTCCATTTGGCACGATCCTGACACACCTCTCTCACCTTCACATCCATACACCTACGCATACATGCTCGTCGGTTAAGGGTACACCTAATTTGGCCCGTTTTCAATAAATCGCCAATTTGGTCGATAAATTTTCGCCTAGGACGTCCCTTTCCGACTCGCCATTCACTTCTGCACCATAATTTTTTTTGTCACTCTTTCCTCATTCATTCTTTCCACGTGACCAAACCACCGAAGCATTCCTTTCTTAATCCTGGTCACAACATCATGTTGCAATTATAATATTTGATAAGAATTATTTATATGTAACCATAATATGTTTTTTCTTTTTTCAGAAAAAGACATCACAAATAATGAACAATTAGAAAATACAGATTTAACATCCGCGCCTGATGAAAGCATGAATGATTTGGTAGATATTGAAAGGTAAGTTTAAAAATTATTATAAGTAATAGTATTTCATATATTATATTAAAGCATTATATAAAAACTTCAAGAGTAGTGTGTGATGTAACACGACTATTTTGCTTTCGAAAAACTCTTGCATCGTGTCGCGTTTAAACTTAACAGCTAGAAATAGTACTTCCTTCATGCCTAATTAAAAATGTGAACTCTAATGGCACTGCTATTCTACAAACTCAAATTCACTCAGTGAGTGATCTAAGGACTTCGAAATTTCTCTGGTGGATAAGACCAGTATTGGAGAAAACTGCTGGAGTACCAAGGTCATTGATATAGTCTTCCATATTTATGGAGTTGTAATGAAATAGTTATATCTCTCGCAGAAATAACAATATTGGAGTAGACGTGTCATATAGAAGACATTGCTTTGGCTAAATGGAGCAGACTTACGCAAGTTGGCTGATAGTAAATGCGTGAAGGTTAATATCGAGATAAATGGCGCATCTAAGTCCAGCAGTGGAATACCTTATGCTTATCAGTTCGTCATAGTAGAAGTCGCTTTATACAGCACTTGCTGGTACAATGCTGCCACTCAAGCAGCTTTTAACAGCCCGTAAATAGCCTATTGATGAACATTGTTTCCCTTGTTCTGGTGAATATTCACCTTAATGATTAGGTTGGCAGGTGAAGGTAATGTTGGCCACTTATTTAACTCCTTAAGCCCCTTAAAAATCCCGTGCAGTCGCATGCACCCGGCAAATCCCGAGCGCTGGCAAGCGACTACACCCACCCACAGCACTTAAATCCATTAAAACTTATATTTAGAGACGACTTTTCTATGAAGAAGTTTAGCATTATAAAATTTATACAAAATTCTCTATCTTCTAATCTCTCTCTCTCTTCTATCTCTAGGTCTAAATAAAAGTCAGTTATTACTTCATTACAAAAAGATTTGATTGTATTTTGATAACAAAAAGAAAATATACGAAGCGAATGTCGGCAGCGTGAAAATCACAATTATTTCTATATATTACTCGAAATTAATTACGTAAATAGATAAATTAAATTCACACAAAAACTATCATTACAATTTTATAATAAAACACTATACTAAAACACTAGAAAAATCCAAAAATCAACACAATAACATTCACGCGAAAATGGCGTACGAAATAAACGTAGATTGTAAATAAATATTCATAAGAATAAGATAACAGTTTTTTTATTGCACTAGAGGATAGAATATTTCATATTGATTATATAATGCTAAACTTTATAGAAAAGAAATCTCTATATATAAGTTTTTATGGGTTAAAGTGCTGTGGGTGGGTGCGACCTCAGGAGACCGCTAGGGATTTGACGGAATATGACCTCGGTCGCATGCGACCGCTTGGGGGTTGATGGGTTAACTTTGCTATCTGTTATAGGCTTGGCCTAAAAAAAATTCAGGTTGAGTAATACGCTTCTCAAGGGGAGAATTAGATTATTACTATTGATTGTTGATTCTGATAACAAAGGTGTCGCTAGGAGGTTGCTGCTTCGTGATGCTTCTTAGTTGCATCCATGGTAACAATACAGCAGCCTAAGGGTTAAGAATGCGTAGTTTAAACTTTGAAAGCTGTGGATTCGAAACCGGTTTTCAAATACCGTTCTGACGTAACCCCTAACACAAGTAGTTTACTTGAAACGATTAACAGGGCTATTGGAGGCGAGTCTACTAATATCTATTTGAAACGATTAGCAGGGCTATTGGAGTTAATACTACTACTAATATCGAATACTTCGACTAATATCGAAGAAAATAATGCTGCAGCTATACTATGGTTGTAGCCTAATGGCTTGGTCGGGGAAAGACCACGCTTTCACAAAATACCAGCGTAAAATAAATAAATAACTAGACGATAAATGTAGATGTCTACAGACCACAGCTTCCACTTACCATCAAGTGGACTGTGCGCTCGTTTGTCACCATAATTGTATAATAAAAAATGTATTTGCAGACAGTATCCGGCTATCACGAGCTCGAGCGTGCGGCGCGCGTACAAGCAGGAGTTCTCGGAGCTGTACACGGAGTACCGGGAGCTGTACGCGCGCGTGGCGCAGGTGGCCGCGCTGTTCACGCAGCTCGAGCAGCAGCTGCGCCGCGCCGAGCCCGCCTCGCCGCAGCGCCGGGTGCGTGCGCGACGACCCTTTGTTTACGTGGTAGAGCCACGCTGCAGCTATGTTATGGTTGTAGCACGAATGGGGTCGGCTCGACCGAGGAAGGACCACACTCTCACAGAACACCAGCGTAAAATAGCAGCTTAATACTGCTGTGTTTCGTATGTAGAGAACCGAAGGCCCGTTTTAATGGAATCGAGGCATTCCATTTTAGTCTTCAAGGCTGACAACGCATCTGCATTTTAATTCGCAAACGAGGATAGATGTATGCTTGTCACCCTTTTCCTATATAAAAAATACCACATCGTGGAGGGACTCGACTTATCAAACCGTGTTTTGAATAACACGGTCCCAGTATGTCGTATTAACACCTTCTATATGTTGATATTTTTTTTGTTGTTTCAAAAACAATCCGTTATATTATTCTTTGCGTCTTTCCGCTTTAAAGGTGCATTTTTCTTAAATCTTAAAGTAATATATGTAATATTACTTTTTACGCAAAATATTCTTTTGGCTTTAATAATATTTTTTGAACATATATCTCTTTTCTTTAAAATGACCAAAATTAATTAAAATTATTGTCCAACAAGAACCGACTAGATTTTTACTTAGTAAATTTTCCATAATATTAATTAATTGGTAGGGCATATTCAAAACCTCTTTTTGTAGACTTTATCAACCAAAGAAATAACAACAAATCACAACATTGTAAACAAAGCAGTATGGTTGAAAGATAAAAAAACGTAAACATTGGCGTTTTGATTAGTTGTAACCACAACTGATATGAGTATTTATTGAAATGTCCATATCTAAAAAGACGATTACCTCCATATGACTTTAAACATTGAAACAGATAAAATTTTAGTAACCAAGTACTCCTTAAATATAACTTAAGTTATTACTTATTTTACTTTTAACATGTAATGATTACATTTGTAGTGTATTTAAAGTAAACTTAGTTTCCTAATAGTATGTATATATATAGTATGTGACTATCGATGATAATGTCCGCCAAGTTGATATTGACTATGACTACAACTTCTCGATAATCTAGATATATTAAAGTACCACAAGTTTATATGTTAATTCACTATTTTAAGAAAAATTGCTAATTTACATGCTCGGCAGTGAGAAAAAAATCACCAAGAAAACTTTAACATTAGTAATATGTAGGTAAGTTGGTTTTTGCTATACATGGGTATCTACCGTTGTAGGAAGGATTCGCCTTAATTGTCACGCTCTGCTGGCGGTAGCGATCTTATCTTTTAAAAAAGAAGTTACCCTACACTAGGATTGTTCAGAATGTATCGTGGATCCAGGAGAAAATACTAATGTACTCGCACCTTTAACACTGTTGCATGTCCCACGCCTGTGTATTAGTATATTATATGGTAACCCATAGAATACTATAATTACATACATAATAGAACGGGGGAGTGGACGGAGCCCGTGTAACCACTTAAATGTCACAACACAGTTGTATTTTGACGTTACAATCGTTTCCAAATTTCGCATGCAAATTATTTAGAAAATGCCAAATTGCATGCTATTAACAAATAAATATGTATCAAAATATATCTGTCAACACAGCGAATCGGGTTGGTAGTAGTGATAATACTACGTAATTGCTTGTATGTGTGCTCCCGGCGACGCCTATCCTCGTACAAAATAAGGTTGACAGCCATTTTATTGTGTATCATAGTATTCTATGTGGGAACCCATAATATTTTTATTGATTGCCTATAGTTGATGTCATAGTTGATAATGGTATGATGGATTGTTTTTGCAGCACACGGCAATGTAAACAGGTACTGAGCCATATTTTGACGGAACGTAGTCTTCTATTATTTTTAAAATTATTCTGCAGACGATAGAGCAGCGTATCGTGGAGGAATACCAACGCGTCCGCAACAATGTGGCGTATCAGCGCGAAAGGCGGCGTGTCAACTATCTGCACCGCAAGCTCAACCATATCAAGCGGATGGTACAGCAATACGACCAACTGGTGAGTCGAGCACACCACTACCTCCACTACCATGCATCCATGTATTATTTAAACAACTTTCTAAGTAACACATTTGCGATTAATAAAAAGTAAACATAAACAATCACGCCTGTCACCCAGAGGGGTAGGCAGAGACTTCGGACTTCCATTTGGCACGATCCTGACATACCTCTTTCGCCTCCTTTACATCCATATATCGACGCATACATGCTCGTCGGTTAAGCGTACTTCTAACGTTACCCATTATCAAAATATTGCCAATTTGGTCGATAAATTTTCGCCTAGGGCGTCCCTTCCCGACTCTGCCGTTCACATCTGCCATATAAATTTGCTTTGTCACTCTTTCCTCATTCATTCTTTCTACATGAACAAAGCATTCCTTTCTTAATCCTGGTCACATCATCTTGCATACCACACATATATATATAAAGTAATTTTTAAATAACTCGCAAAGAGTTATAAGTTTATGAAGAATGAAAGTTCTTCATACAGAATTTCACAAAAAGAGGCAAAAGAATCTTTTGCATCTTGATCTTGATACATAATTGTGATGTACATCCTGTACATGAGCATGTAACAATGATATCCTCACTACAACCAGAGTAACCGACATAGCCAAACGGATCATTAAGTTGAAGTGGCAACGGGTTCGCCATAGCTGAAGGAACAGTCCTATAACTAGATATAAAGACGACATGGTAAGACATGAAGAATGTCAATGGATACAGGTGGCTAAGGTTTGTGTTTTTGGCATTAGAACAAGCCTATGCTCTGCTGTGGACTTAAGATGATGATAATAAGGATTAATATAATACAATCACAGTAAAAGGCTTAAAATTATAATTGATAGAATCAGGCGTTACTTTGCCGAAATTTAAAATTATTTTTAATAATTTGATTGTATTTATCAAAAGATAACAAAAAAACCAAAAGCATTATTGTAGGCAAGAAAGTGACTAATTTTAATTACACATTTTTTATATAATGCTCGTTTTCATTGATATTTCAAGTCTGTAACACATTTGAAGGATTATGGAGATTTGCCAGTGAGTTTTCATTATTATGTAAACACGTTTTTTGTCATCAAAATAATGACATCATTTATCAAAAAATTGTAGTAGCCTAGTAATATTATATAGTTTATAATTGGATTTACAACTTTAATTAATATGTTATATAATTTATCATTAAAATGTAAGGAATGCATATGAGCTGATCTGGTTGTCCAAATGTTAAATGTAATTACGCGTTATTGTAATTTAAGTAAAAGGCTAGGCTTTAAGTTAGAAGTTGGTAATGCTAACAAATAACTGTTATGTATACACGACTTTGACTACTTCGTTGGTCTAGTGGGTGTAGTAGTGCAACTTCTGATCATGAGTCATTCTCTGTCTATTCTCAGAAATCAATTATTGAGTTTTTCTGTAAAGAAATTCTCAGTAGCTGTCAGAAAGTTGGCGGTGTCTCTCCCCCGTGCCTCGGAAAGCACGTAAAGCCGTTGGTCCTGCGCCTGATCTCTCTCCGGTCGTGTCGGTTTACCGTCCCATCGGATTATGTGAGTGAGGGAATAGAGAGTGCACCTGTGCTTACGCATACATTTGGGCACTTATAATCCTGTCCTGCGCCGATGGCTAGCCTTCGTTTAGGCAGGCAGCCGTGGCCGAAATTTGGTCTGGAGGACATTATTATTATTGTTATTATTATTACATATGCACGAAATAGTTGTACCGCTTATCATTCTCACCTACAGGTCTTCCGGCCATTTCCAAAGTCTACTCTTACGACACCCATCAAAAGATATGGAGTAATAGAATTGTTTTATGTCAGCATTCCACCACATTGATGTCAATGATATGTCAAATATGTTTCGACTGTTGTCTTGTTGCAGCTCTGTTGTTTGTGGACGCGACATGTAAACACTTGTCTCTATGGTCATTTATTTAAAAAAAATTTATGTTAATGATATTTTCGTTATATTGGAGCAGACTGTCGTTCATTACAAGCGTATGTGTTGACAGCGTAACCTAAAGCCAGAGAGGGTGTCCGCGGCAAGTACCACGCAGGCGTACTGACACTCGAGCTCGCCGCCCTCCGCCCGCTGCGCCTAGTGGCCGCCCGCTCGGCCGCCGCCGCCCGCCGCTCGCCCGCCGCCCCGCTACTCGCGCCGCCCGCCGCTCCGCTACCCGCCCTCGCTGCCACTCCAGCCTCCGCGCGCATGCACGTACACACGTACGCACTCCGCCCACACACGTGACTAACGCAACGCTGCTCGTTACGTGCACACGTTAAATTTTTCACGTTGGCGTAACTAGCGAGAAGAGAAAAGTAAAAAAAAAATTGTTCTTCAAGTGATAAATAAACACGTTTAAACACCTTTGTTTCACAAGGTGTCGTATTAAAAGAACACTTTTATATAGATAAATGTGTATTATATTTTATAAAACGCATACGGATTTTTACTAAATTAAGGGAAAAACTTTCTTAAATTTGTATGTAGAACATGTAATAATTTAAAGTAAGTTTCATATAAAACAAATTCAATCTCTTAAACAAAAATGATTAGCGTTCAAATTACGTTTCAGAATTGGGTTTATTTACCACCCTAAGATAATTACGCTAGCTGCGCCAATGTTTTTACTCGTCAAGTTTTCTGTGTTTCGTGGAAATATACCAATGTGCCTGGCTCTTAATATACTATTCTACATTAACATACACACATGGGACAGATAAATATAATGTACAGTGTTTGAATACATGTTTGAGGTTGTTAGTTTTTAGTCATTTTATATTATCAGATTTCAACGCATTATTATGTATCCAGTATAGTGTTAATTTAAGTTTCTGAGAGTTCTTCCATTAATTTTAATGAAATATATTTACGTGTATAATAATTTCGTTGCAAGATTAGTACACTGTGTGCGGCCGCATATATAAGTACCCCTATTATATCTAAAAATTTAAGAAAAAATGCACTCACAAAATTCTCACAATACGTAAAAATAAAATCTCTTCTGTCTCGAGCGTGTACATTGTTTTTTGCTTGTTACGTTGTCATACTTTATCCATTTATTTATGAAATAGTAAGTTTGTATAGTTAGCATGTACTTTCAAACAGCTATTAATTTAAAAATTGTTTTATTACATATTTAACTTCATTATTTCGCGAATTTATATTATCCCCTCAAACATGACCTGTTAAGGCGATTACCCTCATAAATCACTTAGACAAGTCAAATGTGTATTATATTGTCTGAATTACAATGTCAATATGTTGTAAGTGTTCCGCATGGCGGCATGCTGATGCCCAGATAATTAATTAATATATTTGATCTTACATAAAAATTATAAAAGTCAATTCACTAGAATTTCGACCTTTGAATACAATTATATTATATTAAAGCTACGTCAGCCTTAATCGTCCCTTTAATTTCCATCCATATATTCACATTGGACGTTCAATTTTTCGCAATCTTGCCCCGCTTGCACATGTATATAGTAATTACGTAAAGTGATTTTCGTAATGTTATTGTGTCTTGTTGAATTTTATTGAGACAAGTGGTGTAACTCATTTTAATTATATAATGATATGATTAGGACCCATAAATACATAATTGTATTTATTCTTTAATCGGTCTCGTCGAATTATTCCTGATAAGTCTGGTATCAAACTTATTAAATTATGCATGTATTACATTCTCGAACAAGGCTGAAATCTATCAAAATATACACATCAGTTTTTTTTTATGATACTGAAAGACGATTTCAAGAATACCACGACGAAGTCGATTAAGATGTCACACATTTGCCAAAATTATTTAGATAAACAATATTTAATTAGTTTTAATTGCGAAATAAAACGTCTCAAAAGTTAGCAACAACCGGCCAGCGTTAAACATCCACTAGAAGTAAGAAGTTATTCTGGTCTTCTTCAGAACAACCCTCCACATCATGATAAGGAAGTTACATTATAATTTACATTTGGGCTATTTGTCATTTTAACAATATTCTCCTATTCAGAGAATTTCTTTTAAGGAACCAAGAACGGAAATAATTTATTTTTGTAATCAATAGTGTTGTACTTTAGATTGTTGGAGAATTAAAACTCAGTACTTCGACTCTGACATTTATTTCCTACCTTTACCTTTGTTGCTCTGAAGGAAGCTTTTTGAAAAGAACTTTATAATAGCCCAAATGTGTGTAAAACCGTCTTATGTATGTTTTGTCCTAAAGAGTAACGTCCATATTTTAAAATGATTTAGCATTAAGTAGCTTCTATAATTTTGAACGTTTGAAAGAAAGACTTGATCTTTAAAAACCAGCATGTCCAATCTTCCAACAGCTTATTAAGAATTGAATATAAAATGCAGAAAATGCAGTATATTATGTAAAATTCACTCGATATTTATATTACTATTATTTTAATTAAAAAAATAGGCAACAAGAGATTTGTAAATATTTATGTTAATTATTTATCGCATTTTCTGCGCAGCCTTAACATTGTGTAAACAAAATGCCATCAGAAAACTATTTCCATCAGATGTAAATATATATTATAATTGTATACATGAATATATTTAAATAATATGTATAATATTAATACAATATCTTTAATTGATAAATATTATTACTATTTTTAGGTTTACGAAACCTTTTTAAGATATTGTTGTTTCGTTTAATTTCTGTCAATTATTGTGTCAAAATGGCGTTACATTAGTTTGCTGGGTATAACAGTCAATTCTTTTTGTATGTACAGAATTGCTTACCAGATCGTTAACAAGATTCAGTCAATTCAAATGTAAGTGTCCTATTTTTGCTCATTGAATTTAATGGTTTTATTTTTACTCATTTAAATGCTCAATGTTATAGTTTTATAAATGATATTACGTGAACAAAATTTTTTCCATCGTATTTAACGCTATTTATTTTATTATCGCTCATAAAGCAAATTTCAACGTGGATTGCGTCAATTGCTTTTCAATTACGTCATCTTGTACTCCTGTCTTTTGTTTCTTTATCGTTTGAGTGTTGTAAACAATTATTATTTAGTAGGGACTGTTTTGGACTCGTGAAACCGTTAAAATGTTATTGTTACCAGTAGTTTAGGCTCTGATGATTGTTTGTTGTATTATCAATTAACTATTGGTTAAGATGAAATATTACTACTGAATTATTTGTTTCACTAATAGAGTTCGTGAACATATTGATCTTGCACTTTTCAGAAATTCGTTAAAGTTGGAAGTGAATATTGTCGAAGCATTCCATTTGTCACAATTGTTGATTAATACGCACCTATGGGCACTATTGCAATAATACCGAGTATTAACTTACGAGAAAGATACATTTGATTTACTAAGTCTACAGGCTATAATCGCTGTAAGAATAAGAATATATAACAGAACGCGAGTAAACCGGGTTCGATCCCCGACGGCACCAATGAAGTTGTTAATTGCAATTTTAAGTGCTTATTTACCACGTGCTCGGCGGTGAAGGAAAATATCGTGAGGAAACCTGCATGTCTTAGGAATAAGAGGAAAAAATATTTCGAAGACATATGAAGTGCGCCAACACGCATTGGGGCAGGGCGGCGGACACTTCCTTGTCCTAAAACCCTCTCAGAAATGAGGGGAGGCCTGTGCCCAGCTGTGGAACGTATATAGGCTGTAACTTTACGTTTTTTACAGGCTATATAAAACTTGTGTATCACCCGTTCTGACGTTAGTAAGTCTTACCAAAATTTTCTAATAATGGATATGTAATAAGGCGTTATGTAATAATATCTGTTGTACTGTCACAAAGGGAGAGTATTAAATGTAAAATGTTGCTCGATTGTTACCTATTAAGTTATTAAGAGATTTGGACAGAAATATTTGTATTTTGACATGTTTATACAAATGGTAAAATCTCAATAAATATTATAGTCCATTGTACAGAGTAGGTAATATTTAGTATTTAGTATATCATGTTCGTAAATTCTAGAGAATAAATAACCTTGAATTTCGTACCTATTTTGTTGCATGACAAACGCGCCACAGTTTTTAGTTTATTATTAAAAAAAAAAACAATATTTTCTGCTTGTTGTCTCATAAATAATTTTTAATAACCCCGTCTGTAACGAGGCCTATAAACGTACGTTCCGTTTCTCATGCATCTATGGGACGATGTGTGAAATGTGGCAACTTTGTCATTACAAGATTTAACATTATTACAATAACATAAGCTGATATTATTATTATTGTAGCGGCTTAAGGCGGGCGCCGGGTGAACGATACCTTACCTTACTTTGGTATTTAGATGTAGATCATTGAGTTGGCATGTTCTGATGAAACGTTATTGTAAATTTGCTGTACAGTAATGTATAAAGATGTTGCCGTCGTGTCGCGCCCGAACGACAGTTTCACGCGGCTGTCTATTTACCGAACAATTTGAATACTTTGTATTATGTCATTGTATATAGAATACGAATTAGTAGTTTAGAAGCGTTAAGGGATGTAATTGTAGTGTTTTATTTTTTTAAACTCCTTATAAAATGAATATAACGGGGACACGGTGAAGATGGCGCGGTCGGGCGCGGCGGCCGGCGCGAACGAAACAATGCTGCGATATTCCTTGTGCCCCTCGAGATATCAGTGCATTATGAGTCGAGATGTATAGACGAAGCGGTAGTGTTATTGTGTACAGATGTGTTATACAAGCTCGAGTCAGGCGGAAGAAACCGACACTTGCCAGCCGGTTCGAGCGAACGACGACTAGCTATGGATCCTGACATCGGCTCACGTTAATTAGCTTATAAATATTTCATCAAAATATAAAATACACAAAAAAAAAATGGATATAAATTTTTCGACCAAGTGCTGGTTGTTTTTAAATTATTAAAATGTAAAAAAAAAATTAGAATATATACAAAGCATAGGTACAATTTATGAATTATACTTTTCTTTTTGGCATTCTATGTCACAGTGGAAAGGACTTACTTGCTACTTCGGAAATCGTTATATTCAGTATACTTTATACTCAGTTTCTCTCGTTTAAGCAAACTGACACTCGTGTGTTAATCAATTATGGATTTCGTTTT